AAATGAGGAAAAATACTTGCTGACCTTAAGAACTGGAATAAAAAACAATAAGCTGCATACAATTTGTACTCATCATAGTCTACATGTTATTAAATACTCTCCAACATTTCATAAGTCATGCTGTGACCCTTTCTTAATTCATTCAAAGATTGTTAAAGGAAATCTGACAACTGTCACTTTGGAGCATAATCCTTGGTGAAAGATCAACTGACATAAGAAATCCAAAAAAGTGGCTTCCGAAGTTATAAATCAAATTGTCAACTTTTATGAAGATGATAGTAATAGCAGATTATTGCCAGGTGCAAAGGATTATATTAGCATAAAAACAGTTGAAGGCAGAAAGCACATTCAGAAGAGACTCATATTATCTAATCTTTCAGAACTATACTAAAAATGAATAGAAGAATAAAATTCTAATGATATAGTTAAGGTGGGATTAACATCATTTGCTCTTTTAAGGCCAAAACACTGTGTACTTGCTGGAAAATCTGGCAAAAATACCGTCTGTGTTTGTATCCACCATCAAAATCCAAATCTAATGGTAAAAGCATTTAAAAATGAAATAAAGTTAAAAGAACTGATGGCCTTAGCTGTATGCTCATTAGAAAATAAAGAATGTTTGTTTTACGAGTGTAAAAACTGTCCCGGAAAAGAAAGAATTGAAATAAAGTTAAATGATCTGGTTGGCGATTCAGCAAATGAAATAACTTATAAACAATGGTTGAAAACTGATAGATACTCCTTAGAAACAATAGTTAAAAACCTTGATGAGTTTCTTGAAGAGTTAACAAACAACTTATATGAACTCACAAAACATCATTATGTCAGCAAATCTCAGACATACTTTTTAAAGCAGTTAAAAGAAAACCTGAAAGCAAATGAATGTATTATACAAATGGATTTTGCTAAAAAAAATTTATTTGTCATACAGGATGAAATTCAGGCATCATATTTTTCTAAAAATCAGGCAACTCTTCATCTCTTCATTTCAACATTTCAACTCTTCAACTCTTCATTTATTATATATATGAGATCTTTAAATGGAAACCTGACCCTAGAAAGCAAATGTTATTGCATTCTGATTCACAATACTGAGGCAGTCTTCACTTATGTTTCAAAAATCGTATTTATTCTGAAAGAAGAATATCCAAATATTCAAAAGATTCATTATTTCACTGATGGTGCAGGCAGCCAGTATAAAAATAGGTAGGTTAATTTTTAGTTCACGTCATTCAAAAAATTCTGATTAACCAATTCTAAAGAAACCAAATTCAGCTATTGGAATGATATTTTTCAAATTTGCTATAGAATAATTAGGATATTGTTTTTTTATTAAATTTATTGATTTCACTTTATGAATATAATTTTTCTTAATTTATTATAGGTTTAATTTGAAAAACCTTTGCTTTCATGAAAAAGACTTCGGACTGAAAGCAGATTGGCATTTTTTTGGCACTGCACATGGAAAAAGTGCATGTGACGGAGTAGGTGGTACAGTGAAAAGAGTAATTAACAACCTGTCCCTCTAAAGGCCAATTGGAAATCAAATTTTGACATCAAAGGATATGTTTTTAGTTGCTAAAGAAAGTTTTAAAAACATCAGGTATAGCACTTTGTTGTCTAAATGCACATAGATTTTGGTTATGATTTTTTTTCAAGTAATGGATGTCAATCCTAATAAAACAAATTTTGAACTTTTTGGTATAAGTTTTTTATAAGGAAAATTATAAAGAAAATGGTACTTTAAAATAATAGCTTACTAAATATATTTTTAAAATTATGTTCTTGAATTATAAGATTAATGTTAATATTTATTCTTAGATTTCTCTATATTTCTGAAAACGAAACAGCTGCTAACACTCATGAAGTTCTTGCTAAACGATTTGAGAATGTTCTTGCTATCAAAGGAACCCGTTCATATCATTGCATTTTACCTTTATCGTGTTGTTTAAAAGCTTATGTAACATCAATGAGCACAACATTTGACATTTTTCACATGCTGGAAGATACTTGCATTAATACACCAAAGTCAGTAACTGTTGACATCAATATTGCTGATTGGGTATTAGCGCATTATTTTGGTGAATTTTTTCCTGGAAAGGTGATAGATGTTAAAGATGACTACATATCTGTCAGCTGTTTACATAAAGCTGGCAATTATTTCAAATATCCAAAAACACCAGATATCCATTGGTATCCAGTTAATGACATTATTGCCATATTACATGAGCCTGAGCTCCAAAACACAAGAGGATTTTACTCCTATTTAATAAAAAACAAGATTAAATAATTTATACTGCATTAATTGTTTTGAATTAGCAACTAATTATCAATTAAAAAGTAAAAACCAAACCTTATAATAAAAGTGGTTTCTAACAAGCTTCGACTTTTTTCTTTATTGATCATTATTTATTTCTTTTATAGAAGTTATTATATTTTTTAAGCACCCTGATGTATCATGAATATTCCCTTGATATATTATGAAAGTCTTATTAAAAAATGTTCAACATTATTTTGTAAAAAATCATAGGTCTTTGACTTTGAGATAAAACACTCCTTAATTGTGTAAACAATATTTAAAGTATCACTATTTAACAATAATACTGGGTTTTAACTAATTATTGCCCCTTTATTTGTGCCCCTACCCAGGTTAAAAAAAAGATCAGCATGGGGGCAATCAACAATATCTTATATTTTTTTAAGAAACAATTTATAATCAGTTGCAACCCATTGAATATGCTATTAGGCAGGTTGGGGGGGGGGGGCACTGGTTTTCTAATAATGCATTCAACCCTAGATAATTAAAAAAGTAGGGCTATTTTAAAATGCTGCCATTTTTGGTGTGAATGCAACAAGTAAAAAATGATTGCATTTTCAGATATTTGGATCTTATGGTCTTTATTGCTGTTAAGCTTAGATCAATACAAAGTGTTAGAAAAAATTACAAGCATTTCAAAATGGCTGAAAATGGGACTTTTTTGGCAAATGGACAATACATTTTTAGATGTATTTCAGTTCTAAACTGCAACAAGCGGCTTATTTTTTGCCTGTTTGTTGTAGATAAGATTAGCTAATCAGAAAACAAAACTGTAGGGACTTGTTGCAGAATAGAAAAGTACTACAGTTAATTTCATTTTTGGCCTTTTTTAGCATTTTTCAAACTTTTTTCGATGTTGAGGAGGCTATAATTTTTTTCTAATATGATACAAGTCAACAAAAACCAGTATTTTTAATACAGAACTACCCAGAAAACACTTCTAGAAAAAATGAGACACTTGTTGAAAGTTAGAAAAAAGTTATGAGGCTTTAAAGTAGTCTGTTTTTACAATTCTTAAATCAAGGGGGGCCACTGCGCAGTGTTTATGGAGCTATATTTTCTGAACCGTTGCACTTGGAAGTCTGAAATTTCAAATTTAACCTACATATCATTATCTACATAATGTAGATAATGATTTGTAAATATCAGGGAAATCAGAGATAATGCCCCACAAAGTTTTCTCAAAATTGGTTGAAATATAATGATTTGACCCTAATGCTAATCTTTTAAAAAAAAGAAATAAAGAAGGAATGCAAAGATTTAAGTGAAGCCATAATTGAGAATAAAATAATATTTTATACCAAAGATGTTTCATCATTGGGATAAAATGTTGTTTTATTCTCAATTAGAATTATCGATTAAAATTATTGTTCCAAAACTAAATCTTTGACTCTTTTTTTTGTTTTCTTTTAGTTGCCTTGTTACCAACTAATTCTGTTAGAATCTTTGTCGTAAGTGGAAAAAAAAAAGTCAGCTAAATAATAAAGATAACTATGATATAAACATAACCATAGTATGTAAATATATAAACATAGAAAATTTTAACTATTCAAATATCAATAAAAATTGCTTTTCTCTTTTTCGTTAAAACATTTTTTCATTAGTTCAAAACTAATTTAAAACCTTTGTTAAACTTAAAAATTTACGAATTTCTGTTAAGTTTTGTTAGTTTTTTAAAGATTTAGTTTAGCATTTAGATCTTTTGTTTAATAAATTTCTTAAAAATGAAGTAATCAAAGAGGAAGACAAAAAGTAGTAAACTCAATACGAGTTTAATCATTAATTCATAAAGGAATGTCCACAATAAACCAGTAAATAACTGAGTTTTATGTAGCTTAAAATTCATTAGCCGCTGCATAAACTCACATTCAAAATCAGTTGCTTGTTTTAAGCACACAGAAAGTGATGATTTTTAATCAAAAATGAATATTGTTCTTACCAAATAAAGGTATGATTATCTGAAAAATCAATAATATAGGTGAGAAACAGAATCAAACAAATATCTTTGGTACACCTTGTGTACCAAATAAACTATTCAAAATGAATGGGAGTGATTGTCCTTTAAGAACAACATTGATATTATAATATGAAAAAAATGATATAATAATTTTTAAAAGTTTCTAAACATATAAAGCCATATAAAGGAGAAGACCAGCATTCCAGACTTTAAAGAAAACCTTTAACATGTCAAGAGCAAGACCCTTGCCTCGCTGTTTCCATCTAATGAATAATAATAGAACACTTTCTATTAAAACTATTAACATGAGCTACAAGCCCATCTTTTTCTCCAGAAGCTGTTACCTTTCTACATGCTGATGCCCAAATCATCTGCATCAACTTTCATCAATACGCTAATTATTACTTGTTTAAGATGGCTTTTTTTCATTCAATTTTTCAACCATTTAATTGTTCAACCATTCATTACACTGATAATCATTTTCTCTCTTGGCAAATACATAAATAGGAAAGAGCTTCTGAAATTGGAAGAGCCTCTTAATTGAAATACTTGCATTTATTTTGGAAATAAAGAAGTATCTTGACTATATTTTGCATTTTTCTAGTAAAATGTCTTATTTTCTACTATTTAAAAGATTTTGAAAACTATTACTCAAAAATGTATGTGCACAATTAATTTTAGGCTCTTTTGCATGACTTTTTAAAAAATGATCTACTTTCATGTTCACACTATATTGATTACACTAGATAAATTAGGTGGTCTATAACTGGACCTAATTTTGAAATTTCTAAAATCATAAAATATGACAATTTTAATTTTAAACCTCCATTTTTTATACTTACTACTAATATTCATATGATCTACTAATTTTTCACCCTACTGCATTTTCAAGCCACTGAATTTTCAACCTACTGCATTTTCTTTTCTATCAACTATATAGCTACTTCTTTTCCAGTATGTACTTTTTGTTGATTTAAATCAGAGCTGAATTTATTCAGCTGTGGAGCAGTAACTGAGCGCTGGTATTAGAATTAAGAGGTCCAAGATTTGATGTGAGGTCTAGGTATACAAGACAGCGTGAATTTATCCTTAAATTCTCTTCCCAACAGCTCAATGACAAAGTTGCTAGGCCTTGTCGAAACACCTTACTAATGAGATAAAAAAGAAGAAAAATTTTCTGACATTTGATGTAAATGGTGGTATTTTTTTCTCTAAAGAGACCTAACATCCTTATCATAGAGTACCACGGAAGGGCATTTAACAAGGATGTTTCTGCTTCCTCCCTAATTCTGAGGGCTGATATATATATATATATATCTATATATATATCTATATATATATATATATATATATATATATATATATATATATATATATATATATATATATATATATATATATATATATATATATATATATATATATATATATATATATATATATATATATGTATATATATATATATATATATATATATATATATATATATATTATATATATATATATATATATATATATATATATATATATATATATATATATATATATATTCAAGGGCCTCATTTTTCCTAATACTGACAACCGATATGTATATATATATATATATATATATATATATATATATATATATATATATATATATATATATATATATATATATATATATATATATATATATATATATATATATATATATATATATATATATATATATATATATATATATATATATATATATATGTATATATATATATATACATATATATATATATATATATATATATATATATATATATATATATATATATATATATATATATATATATATATATATATATATATTAAATAGCTTATTTGTCAATCATATTAAATAGCTTATTTGTTAGACGATGTAAGTTAACAGTAAAAAAATAAAAATATTCTGAATGTTTTTATTTTTGTTAAAAACATAACAAACCAGGTTACAAGACGTGCAAAATGTCTGTTAATCATTTGTGACGAGACATAACATTTTTACATAACGAGACCTAATGTTACGAAACTGTTACATAACATGCTTATGTAACGAGATGTAACAAACGTACTTTTACATAACGCGACATAACGTGTGGTTCTTTAATATTTTATAATTTTTTTGTTTTCTATATATATAAATATCTTCCTATATAAGTATATAAAAATATATATATAACATATGTAAATATGATTATATATTTGAAGTAGAGTGTAAATATAACATAGATATAACAATATTAGTAAAAGATATAAGTAGATATTGCATTAGTAAAAAAAATACTGACCAAGCCTTATAAATAACAAGTTATAAACACAATAGTAGATTGAACAAACTCTTTTATAACTGAAATATATTGATACATTGATCATAACAATTTATATATTTTTTTGCTAGTGGGTTAATTAAAATTTTAAAGAGCGCAAAAAAAATACTTTTGTGACAAAGTCACCAATTGAAACTGAACGTTTAACTTTTTTATACAAAAAAAAATAAATTAAAGCGCTTTCATTTTTTTTTTTTTTTTGAAACCTAGGAGAATTTTTTAACTTACCTTAGCTTTACTAATTAAAGAATTATATAGTAAAAAGTTTTGGTGTTATAAAATACTTCAGGGTAAATTAAAAAATCTAATTTTCGTATGTTCATACTGAGGTAACTTTATGATTTAATAGCAAAAAATTGCACAAATTAAAACCTAGTAACGTAAAGACTATAAAAAGTAAGCACCGGCTTACCCGGCTAAATGCCTTTAAACAGCTTGACCCAGCTAAATGCTTATTTTTTTTAAGTAGGCATTATCTCCCACATCACTTTCAGAAAAAATCTGATCCATGATCTGTAAATAATGTTTATTAAATCTTAAAACCATTAAGTATAATATATTTAATAATTTTAGATTAAATATGTTATATTTTCTTTAATACAAGGGGGTAGGGGTGGTGGGGAACCATGTTTAATAATTTTTGGAAAACTTTCCCACTCACCCTAAGCTTATTAAGACCCCTCCCCTCCTCTAACGTTTAATAATTTTTACTTTTACCAACAGAAAAATTAAATCCTAAGACATAAAAAGAAAGAATGCGCGTTTGACCGCAAGCCACACTGGAATTAAATAGTTTTGCATTTAAGACATAATTTAATTGCGCCTTATTTTTTTATGTTACATTATGTCTCAATTGGTTATACTTTTAAAAATTAAAACAAAAAAGCCAGGCATAAATGATGAAAATGAGTATTTGTAGAAACTTTTTTTTTTGCAAAATTTTAAAAGTAAATACACCACAATAAAAAAGTCTGACATTTAAATATTTTCATTTATGTTTTAGGAGTCCTTGGAAAGTTTTCAAGCTCATTCATTTA